TATTTTGAATTAACTATTTCGAAATAAGATATTTCTAAATAATGCTGTAGTATAGACATACCCAGAGAGTAGTTATTAATGATTCACAATCATTCTGTAAGGGCATAACAAGTGGGGTTCTGCCAGGGTCTGTTTTGGGACCAGTTCTGTTCAATATCTTCAACAATGATGTAGATATTGGCATTGAGAGTACGCTTATTAAGTTTACAGATGATACCAAGCTGGGAGGGGTTGCAACTGCTGTGGAGGATAGGGTCCTAAATCAAAATGATCTGGACAAACTGGAGAAATGGTCTGAGGTAAATATGATGGAGTTTAATAAAAACAAAGGGAAAGCTTTTCCCATTTCCATGCTTACATTTATTCCTCATCAATCTGTTCCCTCTTCTCTCTTTCTCCCCTGCTCTACTGATGCTCTATATCAGTTTCACTGCTCAGTCAATTCCAGTCTCACCCCTGATTTTCCCATCCTGTCTGAGTTTTCCCCAACCTGCTGGCTCCCAGTCCTCCTGCCCCCATTTCCCTCCTCAGCTCCCAGTGTTTATGTGCCACTCTGGCTCTTAGTCTCAGTTTCTTTGTGCAACTAGTCCCAGTCTATTCACCACTTCTTAACTTCCAGCCTTAGTTCACCTTTCCCCCACAAACAATCACAGTTGCAGTCTCTCCCACCCAGGTTCTTTCTCCTAATCCATTTCTCCCTGCTCCTCAATTAAGTTACCCAGCACAGTCTTCAGTTTCAGGGAAAGTCATGCTCAGCCCCAGGCAAGAGCATGTTCAGTGAGGACAAAATCTTTGGGGAATTTAGTTGCTGTAATCTGTTGTCTTCACAGAGCATGTGTAAACTTCTATATTTCAAAGAATTACAACTTAGCCATATTTTGGCGGATTTTCACGGGTATGATAAAAGGCGCATCCCTGACACACAGGCCACCCCCCATGCCAAATCTCAATCTCTGATCCAAATATGGGGGTGCTCCAGTTTTGCAAAGAAAGCATAACCAAAATATTTTGACATAGGAAAACATAATGTATTTTCCCCTAACTTGAGGCTGAGAAGTGGCTGACCTGTTTTGGCTGAAATAATAATATTTTCTTAAATAGCCAGAGACAGACACTCTGTATTGAAAAAATCAGCCTGAATTTTTAGTTTATTAAAGTGGAAAACCACTGGAAACAGGATTTTATAATGGAATGCGAGGGGTAATGTTAATTATATATGGTGCTACCAACACACCTGTAATAAGCTTATTTTAAAACATACAACTAGATAACTAAACACACTTTGTAGGTAGGCCAGTAGTGTGACACATGTTGTGGTCTTGTGAACAACCTCTCTTTTGGTCTGCTTAATAAAAAACATTCCTATACATTTTTGTATCAACCTATAAAATTCTATAGCAAAAAATATCTTTCTTCAAATAAATCCCACAGATTGATTTAAAACGTATGGGCAGCTATGGTCTATAGATAGGTAGGTGGATAATTGTTAGCTTGGAAGTAGCAGTAGAAAGACCTAGGGCACTGGGGAGGTACTATTTTTTTCTCACAGTCAATGTGATGGAGAGGAGTTCCTTTTAAAAAAAGCCCTTGGGGGTAGCTGACACCACAAGGTTCTCTGATAACATGGCTCTTGTGGAGCCATGGACCTTAGACTAGCCAGCCTGTCTTACTAGCCAAACAAACTGGACTTAGTGATAAAGGGTCACTCACACCAAAAATCATTCTGTATTCATGTTGCTCCCAGTGCCAATGATCAGAAGTGTGCAGGGAGTCAAGGCAGAAGCATTGGACCTATAAATAGATAACCCAGGCCGCACATAGGCCTCACAAAAAGAGCTGCAGAATTTAAGGTAGGCTTCCAGCCTATTCCACTTGGGAGATCCAACCTCCTGACAGAACAATATGAGGGAATTTTCAAAAGGGGTTCCTCATAGACATTTCCTGTTCATGAGCCCCCTTTCTGTAGGAATAAAGTCAGCTTCTATTTTATTACATAGCTCTAATAACTTCTATACTTTTTAGAAGTAATTTCTGAAGGATCCTATTGATTTCTGTAGTGTCTCATGACTATGAGTGTTACCCCAGGGCAGTATGTCAAAAACAATGCAGATGCCCCAAACTGATGGCCTGTTTTATAATTAGATTTCGCCAAGCCTGTAACAAATGAGAAATCATGGATCTTTATATCGGTCTTGCCATGGAGTCTCAGACAGTCCTGTGGCGGATTTACAATGAAATGTACCATGCCTTGGCACACCCCCCCCCCCCCCCCCAAACACACGCCCCCAAACCTGGCGAGTCCAGAACTGGGCCCCCCTTCGGGGCTTCCCCAGCTGAGCAGTCCAGCACTGGGTCCGGCAACCTCCCACCTCCATGCAGAGGGCAGCCACTCTGGGGTGGGGGTGGGAAGCAATCCCTCTGCAGAGAGGGCTATGAGAGGAGCAAGAGAGCAGGGAGGAACATTTGACAAGTTCAGCAATATTGGCAACTGAAAGTGCCTCTTTGCAAAATATTACGATGACTTGATTGACGATTTTGTAAAGAAGAAATGTGACAAGAAAGCTAGCTGAATATTTTTTTCAAATTGAAAAAGTTTCTTCGGAGGAAGTTAACTTTTATTTTTCCATTCATGCATCATCTACACATTTTATTTTTACACATTTTTCATGTTGGCTTAATCTAAATTCAAGCTTTCATCTAGGCCAGAAGTTTTCAAACTGTGCTCCGAGAACTTCAGTCAGGTGTCCTGATGCTAGGTTTTTATTTTTTTTATAAAGCACTTTTATCCAAAGCATTTTACAATAGTTAGCTAATGGTACAAACAATATTTGGAAAGATCATTAAGTGGTCCACCAAGAACCTCTGCAATGTTCAATTGGTCTGTGAAAAAAAAGTTAGACTACAAAAACAATCAAGGTACCTCACTTTATTTTCATTTACTTATTATTATTTATAATATAGGAGGAGATGGAAGAAACAAAGGAAAAATGGGAGGGACAGGAAGAGTGAATGTTCTTTTTCTTGGCTAGGTTCCACGGGGACCCCAAAAATGAAGCAGAGCACAGGGCCCCACTAATTCTAAATCTACCACTGGAGAGTCCTCTCAGACTCTCCAGCCTATCTTGTCTGCCAGACAAACTGGAGTGATAAATGGTCACTTACACCAATAATCACTCCCTATTCGGGTTGTTCCCAGTGCCAAGAGACCAGACATTTACCCCAGATCAACTGGTATCCTAGATCTTACACCAAATTAATGCTTCTAGATAATCTTTTAATAAATTAAGGGTTTATTAACTGGGACAAAGAAAGAAAAGTTATTTACATGTTAAAGCAAGTGGGCATACACACAAGCAGAAATCATCAAGATTCTAAGAGTGACAGAGTTGATCTGTCAACGCAAAGGGTCTTTCAGGACAGCCCCAGGAGGAAATGCCTGGGTATCTCTGATTTCTGGGTGGCTCTGGCCCTGTCAGAGATCAACAGCCAAAAGAGAAGGAAAATCTTCCACAGGGCAAGGTTCCTTTCACAAGCCATATCCACGGTGTGATATGGCCATTAATCAGTCCCTTGTACTGCAACTCTCCTTGGTGGCCCATCTGATTTTGATTGTTCTTCTGGATAGGTGGGAATGGACCATTCTGTGCCTGAGTTCAGAAAAAATATTTTTAAAGTTATGAAGCCAGTCTTACAAATTTCCTTAATAGTATGGAATACAGATATTGCAACTGAGATTAATGCATGCAGTAACTTGCAAGGATTTCATAGAGTTTAAACACTAAATACATTCTTATAAGACTAATACCTGTTTTGGGCAAAACCAACATATATGTGAATTGGCCTGGTCTTCAGCTGTGAGTTTGTCAGTTCTTAATTTATGCCTACAGACAGAATTGGCATCTGTCCTGCCAGCTTCACAAGTACCTACCGGTTTTACCCCTGCTAAAGCGCTATTTGAGTTTCTCATAAGGTAGGGCTTGTATCTAGGGGCAAAATGCTGTAATTGCACCATGAAAGAAAAAAAAAGAGCAAGCAAAGATTTTAAAACTAAAAAACAAGAGAAATAGTGAATAAGAAAAGCAGGAATAAAAACAATATTTTTATTTTAACATGACAGTAGTTATTTTTTCTAAGGCTTTGGCACTCATATCTACAGGAGATTACAGGAACCAAACCATTTTTTAAATTAATTTTTAATAATGTGTAATAATCTGAGTGGCACTGGTCTGTGTGCAGAATTAGAATTCCTCTGATAGAAAAAGAAATATTTGTGCAGAGTTTTATGAGCAAAGTTGACCTGAGGCTTCCCGAGGCTGATTGAGAAATTGCAGTCAACGCAGATCCTTAACCCCTTCCCAGCTCTATTTTCAATCTGCTAAAGAACAAAGTCTTTGTGATTTAATATACAAGGAAACAGATAAAGAGCTGAAAAGAGCAACAAACTTGTACATAACTACAAGAAGGTTTATACTCCTTTTAAATTCATTTTAATGACTAGAACTGCCACTTAAGGATAATTCTGCTTTGTGAGTCTTCAGTTGATAGCACGTTGCATTTATAACAACATCTTCCCAGGTCAACGAAGAACAATCTAAGATTGTTAATTTCTCCTGCTTTTGATACCAAGTTGAGGAGATGGCAATCATAATGTCTCTTACAACTTTAAAATAAGCATATAAAGGGGGGGGGGGGGAAAGAACCTGGACAGAATAGGCCTAATCCTTAAAATAAGCATGGAGTTAGCTTTCCTACTTCTTTTTAGAAAAGCCTAAAACATTGTTGTTAGGGGGGGTTAAAAAGAATATTTATGAGATGCAACGATAAAGACATTGCTAATGTTGCTGACTGTTGCCACACATTTCCATTAACCTGCAACAACCTGCCTGTGAGCCAGCTCAGTGGGTGTTAATCTCCGTAAACTTTTTCATCCAGTCAAACATGTTTTGCCAGGGCATTGTACTAACCTGAAAGCTTCTCCCGTTCCAACATCGCTAGTGATAATTACATTTATTAATGATTTCCGGTTACTCAAGGATACTGAATCTGAAGTGCAAAGAATGCTCTTCTCAAAACAAAGCTGAAAAGGAAAACTCCACCATCCTCATAAAGAAAACCCCTAAAACAGAATGGTGCCAAATTTAAAAGGAAGACTGTTATGTTCAAACTGGAGAGGAGTATGGTCAGACATGCATAATCCAAATCGGTATGCAAATTCAAATTCTTATTGTGCAATACATTTAATATGACATTTGTAAAATGCATTACAATTAGGTAAAATGTTTTGAAATTATATGTATGATATATTTTCATAAACACATTTATATTTAACATATAATAACTAATTGAAATGTGTGGACACAAATCTTAATTTGAATTCTCACCAGAAAACAGTAACTACAGATTAATAAATGCATAGTATGAGCAGAATACCTGTTTGTTTAAGTAATACTCAAATGATACTTTGTCTTATTCATTGTATTGTTGTGATCTGAATTACTTGGTTTTGATATGAGGAAGTCGAACAGTGGAGAAATCCGCTTTCACTTTTTAAAGTATAGGAAAAGAGATAGTACAGAATATATTTTGTAGTAGTAATACTGGCATTTATATAATGCTCATACAAAATTATTTAAAATATAATAAATGCTTTTTAGTTATAAAATATCTCCTAAGGCTCAGTTATGTGAGTTAGTAAAACAGAAATTAGGAGGAAGAAATTTGGGTCAGGATTTCAACCTAAATGTTTCCTTTAAATATTCTTGGACATGAAATATATGGGCCCGGTATGAACTAAAAAATGTGTAATGTTTTAATACAAGTTAGCTATCATGTTTTAATTAACATATTTTAAAACACTACCCAGCACCTAGTGTAAAGTAAAATTTTTTAACTTGTCTGCAGTGGAGTAAAGATTGTGGCTAGGTTGGAGTTGGTTAACTTATTAACTAAATTTAACCTCATGTTACCCATTTCTTTCCAAAACTAGATAAGCCCCAACTAACCTCGAAGTGGAAGTGAGAGAGGCTTCTCCAGAAACATGGGTCAGCACAAGAGAAAGAATGATTCCTCAATTTCGGTGAGTCATGAGAAGAAAACAGAAGAGGGGTTCAAGACTTGAAGAGCCATATGAGTAGACAGTGATAAGTGGTTATATATCAAATTATCTTTTCAGATGTGATTGCTTGGCCCTGAAATTAGTATGAGCCACATGTAATCTGAAAGCACAATTTGGCCACTGGTATGCATAGATTCAGGGGTGACAGCAATGGGTACCAGATAAACTTAAAAAAACCCAAAAGATCTGGACGCACTTTATAGACTAACAAAACAGCCCACGAATACCATTTACATATTTTGTTAGTCTATAAAGTGCTACCAGACCTTTTGTTGTTTTTTAAGTTTAACATGTACAGACTAACTCGGCTACCCCCTGAAGCTTCTGATCAATGGGTACCAGTTATTCATTAGTAAATCATGTTATCTGACAGTATAATGCATGTCTACCCTACCTCGAAGCCTAGACTATGAAGATGTGAATATCAGTGTGCACCAAAGTGCTACACTGAAAATCCCCCATGTAGATACTGCAGACACAAACCAAAAGGGTCCTAGTTTGCATTAGTGTAGTATTGTTTAAAGAGGACTACACTGATATGAATTAGGAATCTTTTAGTTCATGCTCACAGTATCCACATGGGGGAGTTACAAAGCAGCACTTTGGCGTGTATTGCTATATAACACAGCAGTCGGAGCAGTAGGGCAGTGTAGACAAACTCTTAGTCACTATAAATGATTGTAACTTGTAAACTACAGGCTGTGAATTTGGGGTGAAGAATCAAGAAAAGCAAATAACAAGAGAATATAAAAGGGAGTTTATCTTCATTATTTCTCTTACTTTTTGCACCTTTCTGTTACTCACTCTTTCAGGTACTAAAGGCCATGTAAGTTATACCCCCATTTATATTGCTCCTTACTTTAGTCTACAGACTGGAAAAAGTCACACAAACCACATAGCAACATTTGCGTTGGAAGTGGCCCATTTTCTGGTACCTGGGATGTGTCTCCACACAGTGGAAATGGTTGTTGTTTTTCTTATGGTAATTTGTTAAAAGATTACAGAAATATGAGAATATTTATATATGTCCTGGAAAGGATGCTAGTTATATATGATTAATTATATACTTAATTCAAGCATATTGGCAGCACTCAGAAGACCACTGAAAATTAGATAAAATACTCAGGAGTATTATCCAGACAGAAAACAGACTTTATCTGGATTTAAATGTCTCTTTAATAATGAAAAGAGCTGAATTTCATGTCATTGTGAGATGGCTCAGTTATTCTATAATGAAGTGAAAATTTAAGCATATTTTTAAACAAGAAGATAATTGAATGGTGGGGCAAGTATATCATACATTTCATCTTAGGTGAACAGAATGGACATTAATTTTTAAGACGTCTGCATAAGAATCAATAATAGATAGATTAGAAGCAAATAACAGTCTGGTTTCCCTTGGTACTCACTGGTGTTAGTCTCTTTTGTGTAGCTATTTTCATGTACTCTGATAATTATAAAGGCCTTATGAAAACATTTATGAACTCGGTGTCAGGTTTGTTACCAGGGATAACAAGTGGTACTACAGTACCTAACTCAGCCTCAGTAGGGGTACCAACTCTGGGACATTAATGAGAAGATTTTTAGCATTGTTTCCATTAAGCAGCAAGCTGCAGGCTGCCACTGTGAGAAGGGGTCCAGCAGAGGGCAGTGCAATTTAGTACCAGTCTCAGAGACTGCCTGCTTAAGAGCAGAACACATTCCCTAGGCTTCCTGCCCTCTTCTTGCTGCTCTAGAGTTCTGTCTGCTTTCCAAATCTTGGAACCCTCTCTTTGGATGGAGAAATTCCTTGTGGAAGAGGAATGAAATTTGTTTAGCTGTCAAAGTCTCTAGCAACCCTTTCCTTCGCCCTGCTGGTGGATCTGATTAGGGAGTTTGACTCCTGGCTTATTCCATGGAGTGGAAAGACTATAGAAGGAGTAGATGTGGAAGATATTCATGTAACGTGTGAGGAAGGAAGGGTATTCATGAGAGTGTAGAAGCTACAATAAAAGAGGGTATGTCTACACAGCAACATTATTTTGAAATAACTTAGTCGTATCTACACAGCAGGCAGTTATTTCGATATAATGTCGAAATACTATCAAGCTGGAGGGCTTCTTACTCCAACTCCTGTAACCTTCATTGTGCGAGGAGTAAGGGAAGTTAGAGGAACAGTGCTCTCTTTCAAAATAAGAGCTGTGTAGATGCTCCCAATTTCAAAATAGGCTATTTTGAAATAAGTTATGCAATTGACGTAGCTCATTTTGCATAGCTTATTTCATGTTAAGCCCTGCTGTGCAGCTGCACGCAGAGGGAGAAGAAAGAGAAAGCATAAACCTACAAGAGTTGAGGGTTATACCTCCTGTTATAAACCCAAAATTAGGGTACGTCTAGACTACAAGGTTTTGTTGACAGAAGTTTTGTCAACAAATACAGTCGACAAAGCTTCTGTCGACAAAGAGCGTCTCCACTACATTCAGTTCTGTTGACAAAGCAAGCTGCTTTGCCGACATGGCAGTGTAGACGCAAGGACAGTTTACATGCAATAACGCTTTCTGTTGACAGAACTCTGTCGACAGAAGGCGTTATGCCTCGTGAAATGAGGTTTACCAGCGTCGACAAAACTGCTGAGTTCTGTCGACGTTATGTCGACAGAACTCAGCGGTAGTGTAGACGCAGGTTTAGTTTTGTCAACAAAAGTCCACTTTTGTCGACAAAACCCTGTAGTCTAGACACACCTATAGTGGTTGCGCTCTGCTTACTGGTAGAGACAAAGACTGATCACACCAGTTGTCATGTAATGCACTGTAAGCCAACTTGCTTACACTCAAGATGAGACTTGGACTCAGGCTTATGAGTTTCTTTCATTGTGGTTTTAGTGCTTACTTTTTATGCATCTGAAATTCAAACCTCTTGATTTGGGAGGAGAAAACATACTGAGCTCCTTTGACATTAATTCCCCAATACTATCTCCCTCTTGTCAGTTTGCAGTCCTTATTCTAAGTGAATGAATACAGATAAGAGAGATCAAAAATTGTAACTGGGAGGTAATGGCAGCTGAAATCATGGCAGGGTTTATGAAACAGAGACATCTACTGGTTAAGCTTTCAGGGGCAATGTTTTACTTTGGTGTTTGTAATCTTACAATGCACAGTTCTGGCCTGGACTTGCTGAGTATTGTTAACTTTCTGTGTTTGTTAAGATGCCAATACAACTCATGCACATGCCAAATTTGAGATTTTCCATGAATTATTAATTTACAGAGCAATATTCTTAATGTGTGATCTTGTGATTTTAAACTTCCTTATTCTGCAGTGTTTTTCAAAATGCATGGTGAGATTAAACATTTATTGTAACCCAGTATCATAGAATCTTTAGAGAACCCTATATGCTATGGAATATCAGGTCACTAATCCACAGTGTGGGATGGGCAGTTATCTTTCCCTGTAGCCACTGAATTTGTTTATGGAATTCACTGTAAAGTTTTGATGGACAAACTAACTGTATTTTTGGTCAGCACTGTCTTCAATGGAGTTATGTTGAGGAAAAATTTGATTTTTTTTCTTTCTAATTCCATTATGAGTTAAGGCAGAATTCCCCTATCAATGGTACAAGGGCCAAAGGAAGCTGTGGATACTGTTTCTGGTGTTCATAATGTGTTCGTATTTTTCATAAAAAGGAGATAAGGTAATCAAAGATGCTCATGAGATTTGAAGGTTTAAATGATTCATATATGCATTAACATATTTGATCGCTTATCTGAAATTTAACTAGATTATCCATGCTTTTTGTATCTGCAAAAATGGGTTGGAATTCTCATGAGAAACATTTTGTCTTTGTGTTTTTCAATATTCCAGTCAGTCCAGAAATACCGGCAGATAAGTCAACCTAATATTGGGAGAGAAGCCATTTTGTGTTTTATTCCAGTAGAGGTTTACAAAATAAATAAATAAATAAATAAATGTGAACTGAACATTTTCAAATCTAAAACAAGGCTTGGTTTCCATATGGATTATGTTCTTGGTGAAGGTTCAGGTCAGTTCTTACATTAAATGAACTTAATTTAAAATGAAAGTTTAAAAAATGAAGAAAGCAGTTTTCTGCTTCAGAAAGTTTGAAAGCCTTGAGCCAAGATGCGAAGATACCAAATGTGAGATAATTTTTGGTCTTTAAATTGGATTCTACTTACCTGTAACCATGGATCAGAGGAACCTCATTGCCCCATAGTGATAAAAGAGCCATGTAAATAGATAGATAGATAGATAGATAGATAGATAGATAGATAGATAGATAGATAGATAGATAGATAGATAGATAGATAGATAGATAGATAGATAGATAGATAGATAGATAGATAGATAGATAGATAGATAGATAGATAGATAGATAGATAGATAGATAGATAGATAGATAGATAGATAGATAGATAGATAGATAGATAGATAGATAGATAGATAGATAGATAGATAGATAGATAGATAGATAGATTTATTTTGGTTCCTTGGATTATGTTTAATTCAGAGCCTCTTAATTCAGCATAATCTCGTATGGAAAAAATAGTTGATGTTCTTGTCATCAGTTAGAATATAGTGGTATGAACGATGAGTCAGGTTTCTCCACCATAACATTGTGACTAATTACAATATTTCCCAGAAGAGCAAAATGTTATTTAAAACTGCAAGGAGGAAGACATTCTCTACCAAGCCTTCATCTCTCTATAGTCATTCTATTTTTTAAAATGAGTACCAGCAGGGGCTCACCTCTTTAAATATGTGTTAAAGTCATGACTGATGTCACTCTTTGGGGTTAAGCTAGGGCAGCAGGAGCCAGTTCGGGTCTAATTGTTGAAATGTATGGTTAGTTCAAGTTAAATAATAGACCTCTGGAAAAAAATCAGCATAGAGGTGCTGAGTTCTGAAAAGAGTGTTGTTTTTGGGCCTACTTTCCTGAATAGCCTTGTTAAAGCCCCTGGCTGATATATGCTAAGCAGGGCCAGGCAATATGTGTAGACAAAGGGAGGGCAGGCCAGCTGAGCGGCACATCACTCTCTGAGCCAGGGCATACACTTTGATGGCTCCTTTGGAGGTATGAGTGAAAGCCAAACCTCTGTTCCCTCTTTTTTTTTTTTTTTTCATTTCTGCCATGCAAAGATAATCAGGTTTATGTAAAGTATGTGTGCTCTTTTGACAGTCCGCGATATCTCATTAATTCAATCACACCAAACACCATTGTTCCCAAAGTGTTTGAAATGCGGATAGGGATGGAGGCTTTTTTAATCCTGTCAATCAATGTTAACATTTTTCTTGCAGTTGCCATGGCCAGGGCCAGAGTTCATGAAAACACAGAATAAGAGCCAACAAAACAAGAATAAAGACTTATTTGAGATACTCTTTTTAAAGGACATCTACCATGCACAAAACATGGGAAGTAAATGTAGACAAGTTTGGACACTATGGCTCACTGAGAGGAAAAAGAGGGAAAGAAGAATTTGAAAATCAAATAGGCCTATAAAAACTTGACCCAAGAGTCTCTGGGAAAAACCCGATGAATTGCTCCCTAGTAGAACAATGTTCTTTCTTTCGTGCGTTCTTCAGGAGTACAATGCTCAATATATTATAACACATGCCACTGATGTCTTTACACTGTTGTAAGCCAGCTCAGACCAACGGAATGCTGATAGAGGACAACAAGAGATTGTGCTGTGATAATTCTCTCTTTTTCCTGCTCTGCTACAAACAAGCACTGGGAAAATTATTCATGCATATAGACCAACAAAGGAGAGATGGGAGATTTGCGATGTCATGCAGTGAGATCATGTGATAAACTTTAAACTAAAACCCATGAATTCACCCTTTGGGGCATTGTAAAATTGCCAATTTATCTTTATAAATATAACAATTAAAATATCTTATTGCACTTGTGGAAATCATGGCCATTTTGGGATTGTTGTACAGACTAATGAGACCACAGTACACCTGATAAACAAAAAACCGGACAATAACATAATTATGCAATTTTCACAGCTACAAGAAGAAACTCCTAAATTAGGTATTCAACATCTCCTCTGCCTTCCAATAGGCCTCATATACAGTTATATTTTATTTCCTCTAATTAACTGGAAAAATATAACAATATATTCATATAATATTTCAGTCATTGATTTCCCCTAAATATATGCGAAACTGTTTGGGCACCCATATAGTACAGATGTTACTTTTTTATATTCTTACCCATCTTAAATTCAAGGGCTCCTAGATTTAATTTTGTATCTACTGGCACTTTTTTCTATGACAAAAAGAGTAAGGAATACTGTTTTCATGGAAGCATTTGTCCATGCCATTTTAAGCTTTGACTAAAAAGAAGTAATCGAAAGGACAAAAAAGCAAGTGACTTTGTTGCTAGATTTCAAAAGTACTCTTACTCTGGTATGGCAGAGATCTATATGGAGCATGAATTTGGAGGTCAGTTCAGCCTGACATGGCACTGAAGATATCTGATGAATGGCATCAAGAGCAGCCACCATGCCAGGGACAAATCATTGACAAAATAGAGTTAATGTAATCCTTGGAGGGTGCAGAAAATAAGAGAAGGAATGGGATTTTACTTCTTTATAGTACATTGATGGAGTACTGTGTACAATTCCATGTTTTTAAAAGGATGTTGAAAAATCGGAGAAGGTACAGCAAATAGTTTCCAAAAATCATTCAAGGACTGGAGAAAGTGCCTTAACAGTGGGAGATTTAAGAAGTACAATCTACTTAGTTTACTAAGAAGATTGAAAGGTGATTTGATTACATTGTAAGAGTACTTTGACAAGGAGGAAATATCAGGTACAAAGGGGCTCTATAATCTACAGGGGAAAGGCAAACAAGAACCATAGCTAGAATGTGAAACCAGACAAATTTAAATAGGAATTAAGGAAATTTTTTTAACATCAAGAGTGATTTTAACCATTACAAATTACCAAGAAACGTGATGAATTCTCCATTTCTTGATGTCTTCATGTCAAGACTGGATGCCTTTTTGGGAGATATGGTTGAGTCAAACACAAATAATTGGGCTAAATTGCAGGTTAACTGGATAACTTTTAATGGCTGGTGATATATAGGAGTTCAGATTGGATGATCTAATTGTCCTGTCTGGCCTTAAACTCTATGAATTACATGTAGCTGTACATTATTGGTTCTAAACTGCTAAATTGCTCTGGAAATATTATAATCGCAGTAGGTAGCTGTCCATAGGGTCATATTTATTTTATGTTTTGATGTGGCTCAATATCCAGAGATCATTTACATGCCTTTTAAGAACTAACCAGGCCTGCCTCCATTACATTGCGGAGCATTTGTCCAGATAGCAACCTTCCTTCCTCTTCTTCTTCCAAGGAGTATAAAAAAGGGCCTGAGTTAGGGATCCCTCTAAGTCCCCACAGCACAGATATCCAGCAGTCATATTTATGGGCTCTCAAGGATCATAGACAGGGTTCCCTAGTTTCAGAACCTCCCTCCCCCTTAGAGAACATGTGAGAAACTCTTGGACAATGTCCCAACCTTATCATCCTTGCAGGAGGAATAACGATAGTTCGAATTAGGAGCTTTAATTCTAACTACCTAGTCAGAGCTGCGTGTAGCTGTGGGCAGGTAGTTTGAACTACGGGACATTTAAAAATGGCGGCGCCCGGGAACATTCAAATGAAACCCGAGATATTTAAATCCCGGGCTTCATTTGCAAGTTCGAATGCCTACATTAGCCACCCTAGTTCGAACTAGGGTGGCAGTGTAGGCATACCCTGGGTCTTTAAAGTAGTCTGGCTGGCTAGAATTTAAATGAATGTCTTTAACAAAATCTTATATTTCTTTATTATATGCTAAATTTGTATCCTGATGCTTATAGCATTAGCAAATATTTTATTTTAACAGGAAGCAAGACCAGTAAAATTCATGACTAGATATAACCTCAGGAAATATGTTTAAAGCCCACATGATTAAAAGCAGCTCTTATCTGAATGTAGTACAGTGAAATAGTTTGTTCCCCTAGCTAGAAGCTATTTTAATATTCAAAACATTGAGTTTATGTTGTCAGATATTCTGCAATTTTATATCCAAATACCCCAAATCCACAGAACAGACTTCATAGATTCATAGATTCCAAGGCCAGAAAAGACCATTGTGATCATCAAGTTTTGCCTTCCCTATAATAGAAGCCATAGATTTTCCCTAAATTAATTCATTGAGCATAGACCACCTTTTAGAAAAAACATCCAATCTTGATTTAAAATGTTCAGTGATAGAGAATACACTAAAACATTTGGTTAATTGTTCCATTTGTTAATTACCCTCACTGTTAAAAATTATGCCCTATTTCAATTTGATTTTGCTAAGCTTCAGCTTCCAGTCACTAGACCAAGTTATTCCTTTCTCTGCCAGATTGAAGAACCCATTACCGAATATTTGTTCCCCGTGTAGATACTTATAGATTGTAATTAAGTCACCCCTTAACCTTCTCCTTGTTAAAATAAATAGATCAAACTCTGAGTTTATCATCATCAGACAGGTCTTTTAATCCCTTAATCATTCTCATGGCTCTTCTTTGAACCCTTTCCAACTTCTCAACATCCTTCTGGAATTGTGTGCAACAGACCTGGATACAGTATTCCAGCCTCTTTCATAATAGTGCCAAATAACCTCTCCTCTACTAATTGAGAGCCCTCTGTTTAAAGATTCCAGGATTCCATCAGTTCCTTTGGGACTCACATGTTCAGCATTCTACCACAATCCCCAGAAATTTTTCAGAGTCACTGTTTCCCAAAATAGAGTCCCCTACTCTGCAAGTATAGCCAACATCAGTGACACCCAAACATTGCCTGTCACGCCTCAGCTTACTTCACCTTACCAATACTTCAGAGATACTCCCCTTACCTGTCTATGCCTCCCCTCCATGACAGCTCAGCCAAGGTTTTCTCATAGTCTTGCCCACTACACATACAAGGAAGTAATCAGAGATACCCTGAGAAGTTGCTAGATATCGTTTTGTACCCTACATGAGGGAACATTTCAGACAGATGAAACAAGAATTTCCTATCTCACATGAGGGATGAATCTCGCCCCTCAATGATCAACATGCATCTAGAGCAACATCTGAGTGATACCCCAGACTAACACGGCTACATTTCTATCACTATTCTTAATGTGCATAGATTTCTTATTCCATTTATTGCATGTTATATATTTTACAGGAGATAGCCAGATCCACAGATACTCAGAGGAAAGCATAAAAGAGAAATTCAATAGGCCAAATTAGAACTACATGGTGTTGAAGCTTCCTTATCCAGCAGTATCACTTATCATGAGGGCATTACTGCTGGCTGTTTCAAATATCTGCAAGACATTGGAAAACACTCATATAAGCTCTTCAAACACATTGCAAAACTCATCCATTTGTTTCATCCTCACACATAACTTTACATTTAACAACAAACACTTTTTCCAAACCATAGGAACAGACATGGGTACTGAGATGGTTTCCTAATCTGCCAGTCTGTTCATCTGTCACACTGAGGAAAAAAATTCTGGAAAAATGCACCATGAAACCAATGATATACCTGAGAAATATCAATGAAATTTTCATCCTCTGAACAGACAAACTGAAGCACCTTATAGATTTTCACCACAGCTTCAACAACCACCACTATATTAACAGATTTACAACCAATATTTAATGGGCCCCATATCCCAAAAGAAAACTTTCCTGACTCTGCTCCGCTAGTATTCAAACAACTCCTTCTCCCAGCCTTGCCAAGCTCATCATCAGAAGCAAGTTCTCCACAGACCAGGACACATGTATTTAAAATACAGGTTGAACCTCTCTAGTCCGGAATCCTCGGGACCTGAGTGGTTCCAAAAGAGAGAATTTTCTGGATCATGGGAGGCCAGTATTATCTAGCAGCATTACCAACATTTCCACTGCGTACTGTGCTGTTAAAGGACATTTAGGAGTAAATTAGAGCTAAATAACAACACAGAACACAGAGAGCTAGGGCTGGTGGCTGTTAACAAACTTTATGGGACAGCAGGAAACTTGGTCACACCCATGAAAAGTGAATATCTAGCTAACTAAAATCATTCTGGATGACAGCTGTTTCTGGATGAGAGAGTTCTGGATTAAAGACGTTCAACCTGTAAATACGAGGCTTTGCCATAACAATAGATGTCAAAACCTGAAGACACAATGTGGTCCTTCTATGTAGGATCTCTGGGTATGTCTACACTACAGCGCTAATTCGAACTAAGCTCTCGAACTAACGCGTCTAGAACTAAAAACTAGTTCGAATTAGCGTTTTGCTAATTCGAACTAGCGCGTCCACACTGATTGGACGCAGGGGGGCATTTAAAGGCGGCTGAAACCGGTTCTGGCAGAGCACCAGGTCAGTAGTTGCTTTGTGTGGCTGCTGTCTGAAGCTATCTGAGGCTCGTGCTTAAAGGGACCCCCCTGGACAGCCGGTTCTCAGCTTTTCCTGCTTGCTTGCCAACCTCGCCGAGGGACAGCAAAGCGTTGGTCTCTGTGCCCGTCTGTGTCGGTGCTTCCCTTCGGGGACACCGCCACAGGTGGCAACATGGAGCCAGAGCTCGCCCTGCACCTTCTGGTTCACTTTCTGGACTTGCTGCTGCAAGCCTGCCACCAATGGCTCGAGGCTGCCTGGCACCACCTGGTGAACATCAGCCCCCTGCCTCTCTGCCTGGCCGCCCTGGGGGCCGTGAAGGAGCCGCGGCGGAGCTCCGGCACCGGCGTGCCCCGCCGCATCTGGCATCTGGACCACAGCACCGACTGG